TCGATTCCTAGACGTGACCCAGCGAAACGCCGGGACACGTATAACTTCTTTTTTACCGATATAACTTTCCCCGGTAGTTTGAACCCTTCCCGATCACTGACCCCTACCATTTGTCTCACAGTGTTATCAGCGATTTTAAAAATGCTTCCATTTTTGATGTGTGGTTCTATTCATAAACTCACCACCACCTTTTATTTTGAAGAATATTTCTTGTAATATTGTTATTTCAGTATAAAGGTCATCCATTTTCATGCACATATTTTCTTACATATTACTGAAATTTCCCAGCCAGCAAGGAAGCTTAAATTTTGCCGACAGTGCAGTTTAGTTAAATTTTCCGTATCCGAAAACGCAAAAAAAACTCCTACAGTTATCATCAATTTTCGTATCCGGAAAACGTTCGAAAAAGGTGATGTCAGTTGAAAGCAATAATTGTATTTTATTTACTCAAGCTAAACATTTGAAAGCATGCATTCGTAGTTGGCAATGGCTGAGCGTGCAGAGGAGTGTGCCGCTATTTGTTAGCTTCCAGAAGGTGCCGAATTCCGTCAGGCGCTACCTAATTTTTTTTCTTTTGAACCATGAAAAAGTATCTGTGAAGTGCAGAAGGAAAGCGTATTGAACGAAAAATTGAATCAGACAAATTTCAGAAAAAACAGCAGAAAACGTATCCGTTTCACATACTCTTGTGTGTACATACGTTTCTGCCGCACACTTTTGTGGGAAAACGGATCGTTGAAGTATCCGAAAATCGAATCAGTAAACGGACAAAAATCCGCACTTCATCCACTTTTTTGTACTTTTTCGGATCGGTTTTCGGATTTTTGGCTGGCTGGGTTATTTATATTTATAACTGAAAAAATGTAGTATTTTTGCGAACTATATATTTTTTCAACAGTACATATATAGTACGCAGACCGAAAAAATAGTACAATACTATATATTATAGTACGTTTGGCAACCCTAGCATATACGTTAATTTATAAAAGTACATTTATACATTTGTATGTGTATGCACACCTATATACATACATATGTATGTATATATGATCAAGTACTAATGAAAGCCGAACGGAACCTAGGTCAATACTGTTTCTAGTGCGACAGGAAAAATTATTAGTGGCGTGCGAGCTTACAGCGAAATATATATGTACATATGTCATACAAACGAGCATACATACATGTACATATACATACATACATAGATGTGGAGTGAACGAGTGCATTAGATGAAAGTAAATAAATCTGTATATGTACATATGAACACACGTTCATATATACTCGGTACTGTACATACATACATAAATCTGTACATACCCTGCAGCAATAAGGCGGCCAATTTTCCGTTAAGGACTAGTACTTCACCGGTTATAATTTGACTGGTCAGAATTGGACATTTGCTTGCATCGAAAATGTCAGCCTTCGACTAGTCCCCAAGGAACCGGCCTAGAGATAGACGAAAAGTACAGTTTGGCACTGACAGGGTGGTGTTGTCTTGCAATTCAATAAAAAAATTTAAAGAACACCACCCTGTAAATGTCCCAATCGCTTGGTCTGGCCTTGATGCAAAGTGAACATTTGAACACACATTTACATGCGTGGCTGTAGCTCAGTGCGCAGAGATGCTTGCCACTATATGTTAGCTTGCAAGAATGATAGAATACAAGATTGCGCTGATCAGAGAGGATTTTTGAGAATAACTTTTGTGTGACGTCACACTGGTGCAACTGCGAGAGAGAAATGCCAAAACGTGAGCAAGAATGGAAGAAGAAGAAAAAATTTTGCAAGGAAAACATAACCAAGTTGCACCAGTGTGACGTCATGCAAACAACGATTTTGTCAAATTCGTTAAGAGAGGAATAGCGGTCCGAGATCGGCGCAACCTTTGTATTCTCTCAATCGTGGTTAGCTTGCAGGAGGGTCCGGGTTCAAATGCCGTCAGAACCAACATGGTTATAAAATGATAAAATTTTTTTTTTTGTGTTTCCGAATTATGAAAAAGCATCTGCGAAGTGCAGAACGCAATCTTACTCCAACGAAAAAAATCTCCAAAATTGGAC